AGAACAGACACTATAGCGGTACTAACTAGCCAAGATAAACCTGAACCAACCTTCCCAGTTAAGATACGGTAGGTTAGGATTAGGTCTCCTCTAAGCCTTCGGCAGTGTATTAAATGCATCCCCAAGCTAAGTAGACACTCGGGGTACGTCCGTCCCCGTAATCCCTCTACTTACCTAGTACCCCCTCGTTAAACCCTCTCTAGCTTCATTTTGGCCCGGAGGAGGTAGGGCAAACAAGCCGAAGGGTGTACGACCCCTTCGTCAACCTGGCTAGATACACGGGGAGTTCGACCCCACCGACCAAGTACTTCATAGGAGGACAATCTCCTCCAATTCGAAGAACGGAGCACTTTGCCTGAGTTATGGGCAGTAGACATAAGGCAGACCAGTCCAAATGCATATCCAATGCTCGCTGAATAGCCTCGGAACCCCCAGGAACATCGACAATGTTCCACATCTTCAGGTCATAAGCAGATAGCAGCGTTTGTAACCCTAGTTCCGCGGGTAGGTTATTCATATAGATAGAGAACAGCAGCGGTGCAAAGACCGAGCCCTGTGGCACGCCACTGAGGACAGACTGCCTAAATTATAGGCCTCGGCCTACCCGTACACACTGTTCTCTACCCTGCAAGAAGGCAGTCACCCAATGAAGGGCGCGGCCAGATACCCCGTAGGAGGACAGCTTTTGCGCGAGCCTCAAATGGGGTACCTTGTCAAATGCCTTCGAAAAGTCGACGAAAAGCACGTCCAGTGCGTGGCCGTTATCCACTGCATCCGCCCAATTTTCGTGAGTTACCAGTAGATTCGTCAGACACGAAAATCCCTTCCGGAATCCGTGTTGTACATTGCTAAGTAGATTAAATCTACTCAGATGACTCTCCAATGAATCTCTCACCAGTTTCTCGAGGAGTTTGACTACTACACTCGTCAGACTAACTGGCCTGTAATTTGCAGGCAGACCCCTGTCCCCATTTTTGAAGATGGGACAGATGACAGCTTCCTTCCATTCGGAAGGCAATGCACAGCTGTCAAGCGATTTCTGAAACACAATAGCGAGCGGTCCACTTAGTTCCGCAGCCAACTCATGCAACAGTTTCGGGTGAATTAAATCAGGCCCAGAGGCCTTAGAAGGGTTCAGCCCTTGTAACAGCCTACGAACTTCCGTCTCCGCTACAATAAATTCAGATAGTTCTGAACCCTCTGGGGTCCTGCAAACCAGCTCAACGCCTGTCAAAGAGGTTTCCCTTACAAACGCTGTCGCATATTGCCCACTAAGTACGCAGGCCTTGTCATAGTCCGTATGCGCATGAGTACCGTCATCACGCATCAATACTGGAATTGACATGTTCGAACCGCAGCGCCTTTTGACATAAGCGAAGAATCTTTTTGGATTCTCTGAAGCTTCGTCCGCTAACCCTTTCTCGAAATTGAGCCGAGCATCCCTTAGGTGTTGCTTACACCTATTTCTAGCCTTACGGTACCTGTCATAAGTATCGGTGGACGGAGCATCTCGGTAAGTCCGCCAACATCTAGACCTCTTTGTGAGCAGATGCCTGCCAGTGGGATCTATCCAGGGCGGCTGTGCTCGGGCCTCCTTTCTCCTTCTGACTGGGATGAAGGGAGCAGAGACCTCTGTGAGGTAGGACTTAAATTTATCCCAGGCAACCTCGACAGTATCGTCGTCTGAGATCTCACAATGCAAACCCGAAGCCTTGGCTCTCATGGATTGATAGTCTGCGTGCCATATGTTCGGGCGAGACTCAACAGTACTCTGGTAGCGTCTAGACAGAGTACAACTGAAGAGCAAACAAACATGATCACTGGAACCCAGTGGAGGTCCGTAAGTAATGTCACCAACAAAATCGAGTGACTTAGCAAATACAAGGTCTAAGATAGACGGTACTTGGGCGTCCATGTACCTAGTGGGGAGGTCAATGAACTGGTGCAAAGATACTTGGAGCGTAAGCTCAAGCAGATCAGCGCCGAATGTGCCTGACGCTGAGTCGCAAGAAAGATCTGCCCAGCAAATCTCTGGGAGGTTGAAGTCGCCCATCACCAAACACTTATTTGCGGACTGGGAGCGAATGAATTCAAGTACCTCTTTGGATACGCTCCCAGGGCTTCTATACACAATTACAACTGTAACCTGAGCCGAGGATGTGCTAATAACAGCCGACAGAGCTTCAACAGTTTTGTCTGCTGACTGAAATAAGCAAGTCTTCAAAACGTCAAGTTTACAGCTCACATAAAGAGCGACGCCCCCTCCCTGCCGGCCAGCGGAGGGATCGCATCTAAATAGTGCGTAGCCAGATAGATGTAATTCACCATCCGTGATGTCCTGAGATAGCCACGTTTCAGTGAATGCGAGTATATCGGGATGAGACCCATCTACAAGCAGACCTAACTCGTACACCTTATTCCTTAGGCTGCGCACATTACTTAACACTATCTGAAGGTATTCGTTAGATCCAGACCTGGGTCGTGCGCTACCAGAATGGGCAGTGGTAGGGCGGAAAAGGACCGCCGGCTGACCACCCGAAAACCCACTAACCGGAGACCCTGTTCACCGGCCGCTCGCCTGCTTTTGAGGTCCTTGATGGCCTCCCTTAGCTTCAGCCTATCGGCCAGCGAAAGGTCCGGCTGAACGCTAATATTTGTACCTTTCAGCTTAAACGCAAACCGCATGAGAGCGCTGCGTTCCTCCGGGGTAGAGAGTACCACACGAAGTAGCCGCGGTCGAGGGTTTGGTACGTTAACTGGGACGTTCCCCAGTCTAATCAGCTTCCTGACAGTAACGCCTGGAAAACCAGGCGGAAGAAGCTTCGTTACGCACATTTTAAACCATTGAAGGTCGTCCAACATGCGATCAGCAGGAAGGACAGCAGTAGATTCAGCCGCGTTACGGAATATAACGCTACTATCCGTGAAAGAATCGCCACGACGGGGTGTATTAACCCCACGGGTCTTTGATTCGATACTTGGAGCAGGTGGCTTCACCACTGGTGATGGGACTGTCTTTAGCCCCTCAGATGATGTAGCAACGGCAGCGTACGTTTTTCGCTCCATTGTCGATGTCTTACTTTTGTTAGGGTCATCGATTCCACCGAAAGGCTTTATGGCAGATTTGGTCTGCTTTTTCTTCTTGATAACGGGAGCAGGGTCCCGTGAGGCTTTTTCGCTTTGAGCAAAATCAAGCAAACCTTCAGAACATGCCTTCTCGGTGAGAACCGAGATTGCCGGCAACTTCGGCTGACAAGTAGTGCGTGTTGGAATCTTCGCCTTCGCACAACCGTCAGACGGTTTGCCAAGTAACGACACTTGGCTTGTTTCCGGTGCCGAGACAACTATAACTTCTTGTTTAGCAGAGAGCTTACGGGGTTTCCTGGCTCTCTTTCGCTTTACTCGAAGGGACCCTTGAACTAGCAATTCGGCGTCGATCAGGGTAGCTTTAGATACGACGTCCGAAGCTGCTTCATTTTTGTGGTCGGTAGCCATCTGGACCGGTGACATAATGATTGGTGCCACAAGTTGATCATCAGTGTAAGCGATCAAATCTGCGTTGTTGGAGACCGGAAGCGTCTTCATGAGCAGATCAATCTTAAAGCGAAGATCTGAGAGCATCGAGAACGAACGCTCTACATTTCGCAGCCGGGTATCAAGAGATTCGTCTCTCGTACGAAAGGCCGCGCGGCCTTGCCGGCGGCTGCAGCAACTGGCACAACTGAAAAGCAACTTTTCGCTGGAGGCCAGCGCTGCGTACTGCTCGGTATTCAGGTCCGTACAAAGCTGATGGTACCATCGGTTGCAGACATCGCACTGCATACCGCCGGAATCGTCAGTTACTGGTATATTGCAGCTTGGACTGCCACAAAGTGCGATAACCTCAGAATCCAAGCCACCAGGAACAACAGCCTCGGTGCATTGCGAGACCGACATAGTGGAAAACAGAGTGGAATTATAACACGTACACAATAGTTAAACGACCTCAATAAAAAAGGCAAAAACTGGGTGCAAAACGGGATTAAAACTGGGAAAAACCGGAAAAATTACCAGTAAGCGCCAAAGATGCTTTGATCATAACCGCTTTAATAGATCCAAGATATCTTGGATCAGAGAAAATTTGACAGTAGTCAAATTCCGTTGCGTTTATTCAAACACTGTTTTCCACAATATTGTAGCTAGAAAGCTCGCCAAAAATGTCGAGTTACCGCGTAGCACTCACAGCACACACATTTTAATGACTTGCATTGCGCTTTATCTTCTATTTGCTTTCTACTTCTTTCTTACTTCACGTAATCTACGCAGCGGGGACTGCTATTGCAGGGAACGTGGGCAGTAATTGGTTGGTCAGGGTGTGTTTCGGGTGTTTCGTTTTAGTTCTATCAAGACCTAGCACATAATTTCCTGACTCAACGATTTGCTCAAGAAGGAACACGCAAGGGATTTTCCTATCGTTCCAGACCATCTGAATCTGCGCGCCAGCTCGTTGCTGTTAGGTGGCAACATACAACATTTACTTTTTCATAACCGATTCACCTTCATCTTCTAGTTCCTTTTTCAATGACCCAAATGGGTTGGTATTCTACCCGCCTAGCTCTTTCTATGTTTTCTGCTTGCATTTTTCCTTTTACCTTTCTTAATTCACGTAACTGGCGCAGCAGGTGCTGCAAGGACTGGATATGTGGGCAAAAATTGGTTGGACAGGGTGTGATGTGGCCTTTGTTTTAGTCAATTAATATTTCAAAGTGTTCCAACTCCTGGTTCAACAACCCGCTGAAGTGAACTCACGGGATAATCCTATCGTTGCAGGCACGCATGAACATGAACTTGAACACCTTAATATTGTTTGATGAAAAGGTTATGTAGATGACGTTATTTACTTAATTGCCAAATTTTGGTTTTAACTTGGTAACCTTCTACTGAGATCCACTTTTGCAGCTTTGTTTTAACCATTAGGGAGCCATCATTACTGGGCAGACATTTGCGCTTCTGTTCACGCGATGGTTAAACTTTTTGTTGGCAATCTCAATCCTCAGTCAAAGGCCTCCGATCTGCGCAAAAAGTTTGAGGCTTTCGGCACTGTCACAGAGTGCGATGTTGTGAACAACTATGGTTTTGTGGTATGTCTACCCAGGGATTCTTTATTCCTTCTCAGCACATGGAGAAAGAATCGGAGGCGGAAGCTGCCCTTGCTGGACTCCAAGACGCCATACTTGATGGTGTCAAGATCAATGTTGAGCGCAGCCACGGCAAGCGAAGTGGTGGCCCTGGTCCTATGAGGAGACGTGAAGGTCGTTTCCGAGATGGGCCTGCCGACCGATTTCGGGGTCCTCCTCCCAGATACATGGGTGCAGGTCCCCCTCCACGAATGGGACGCTACGGACCAGGATTTGATGATGGTTATGGAGGACCTTATGGTCCTCCTCCACCTAGAGTCAGTCCTCGAGGTAAGCTCCATGACACTTTAAATAGTTTTAGGCGGCCCAGGATATGATTACCCACCAAATGGTACCCCGGGACGCTACCCACCACCTGAGCGCGGCGATCCTGCTCGCCCGCCTCCCAGGGTTCCCGGTCGTGAACCGCCACCTGCCGCAGGCTATCGTGGACCACCAATTCCTGAACCTATCCCTCCGCCAAGAGATTACCCTCCTAAGGGTGCACCACCTCGTCCAAGGTAAACTTGTTTTACCATGTCAGATGAATGCAGGTACGATGGTTATGACAGTTACGGAGAATACGATCGTTACCGAGAGCCAGCCCCACAAGCAGCCGCGAGACCTAATGACTACTACGATAATTACGGGAATTACAGCAGTGGTGCGGCTTACGAGTAAGTTTGCATATGCGCTGGTTACAATGATTTCAGGGAAAGTGATCGGGCTCCGGCTGCTGGTTATGAGTCTGGGTACGACTACGGCTACTATGATTACGGTAATGGTAATCGCTCTCCTGTTCCAACTAGGTATGTTGTCTGTTTTGTTGACTACCATTGTCCGTTTCAGGTATAACTACGGCCGTCCATAATATTAAGTAAGTCTGATAAACTTGCGTAATCAGAACTGACTGTTTGTGCTTATGCTGTCCAATATTTCGTTTGGAATCATTCCGTTGTTTAGGCTTAGACCTATAGCACGTCCTGGCACTTTTATGACGTCGTTCCCAAAAGTTCGCTGTTAGACCGCTCCACCTAACATGCTTGTAGTAGCAGCTCCGTATCGCGAAGTGCGTTTCGTACTCGATCTGTATCCCGGGTTGCACAATGTCTCCGGCTTTTTTGCATCCAAACTATCATAGGCACTCAATTGCCTTCGAATCAGTTACTAGGTTTGTGAGCTTCGCTGCCGTTAACCGTCTGACGTTTACTTTCGATTTTGCCTAATTTTCAGGGCGGTCGTTCAACGCTGGCATCATCGCACTTGTCATCTAGCATGCGCTGCTTTGCATTTATGCCCGCGAAACTCGTACAGCCTCTTGTTAGCGTTTCTTCGAAGGCGCGTCGGATCTAGGTTTCGCTACTCTGTGCGTCAGTTTGCGTTGAGCCGTCGTTTCGCAGAGACAGCGCGCCGTTTGTCACGCCGTTCATTGTCATCTTTTCTAAACATGTAATACAATACAAAGTGTGGTTTACATGTTTGTTTTCACGATTTCTCGGACTAGTTAACATCGCGCTCTAAGTTCCGCATCGTTAGCTTTAATTTCACACATCGCCCGTCCAAGGAGCAGCATCCGGTATACATCGCATAATTGCACCACACGGCCAACAATGACTGTACGAAACGCTTAGGTTCTATACGTTGTTCCGAATACCACTAGAGTACAGCTCGTAAGCAACTCCTTATCTGGATGTAATGAATGTGTTTCGCACCTCATTAATGGCTTACGACTGATGTAATAGCACCTACGTATTTGGAACCCAGGAAACTCGTATTTTTTAGTAACGTGCGCTTCGAAACTGCTCTTAAGCTTCGAGGATACCCCTTCAGTGAGTCAGTAGACGCGATTACCGCTTCCAATCAATGCAGGCATACTTAACCTGATATATTATCCTTCCTCTGTGTATTGCGACTTATGGCATGTTCGTCTTGCTCAAGCATTTGCTTGAAATATATGCCCACTCATGGGGTACTGCTTTTATTCATCCGGCACTCTAATGGCTCTGGCCAGCTACACACATGAGGTACCGGTCGGCGGTTTAGTTTTTGTGTTTTCTTGAATTTATCCTGGGCACCGAACACATGACGTTCAGCTAAGATCTACCGCTGAGCCGTCGCGCTAACATGAGAAGTCGAATGTTGCTCAGCGCACCACGCACTGCTAATCAACGAAACTGACCTTGGTTATGTTGCCCGAACTTCGAGCGTCTAGGCCAATGGCCGTGTTGTTTCCAAAGACTATTTCTGAAATATAAAACCCAGTTATGGTGGAACGTAGCCGGCACAGGCGGCGTGACGCCACATAGAAGACAAAACAAGTATAAAGAGCAGCGTTCAAATTTGTTTTTTTCCAAACTTGATTTTTTGGTTACTTGGTATTTTTTTGCTTTAACATTGTGTGTACATTTTGGTTACCTAGCAAAGTGAAGTGTGTGGTAAGGATGATAAACGTTAACAGAATCTGAAAAACGAACTGGATGTCTGACATGTCTACCACGTCAATTAGTTGCCTGAGGTTGGGCTGGGTTGCCTTTGGTTCAACAATAATGGAAGCGTCTGGATTGACTGCTTTAGAAGACTGTTGCGGGTGAATGTACCTGTGTCGTCGTTCCAAGTTAGTTTGAAGGCGGGTCCTGAGTTGGTCCATAGACACCCTTGTTCGGTAACCATTGTGGGTAACTTGTCTGGGGGTTTGCTGGTGAACTATAATAAAAAACGACGCACTGCATCTGTGCGAACAAATACGTGCGTACAGGTAGGGTCCACTGTCATTTGCACATTTCTGGTCTGCTCACGAAGTGAAGCTATGCTCAACAAACGTATGCGCTTTGAGATCGAAAAAGCAAGGTTTGTCGGTTTTGTCCACGAATGAGAGCAAAGCGAACTCTCCTGACAGCTTAAGTGTTGTGTGGTTGACCAGCTTTGCTGGTGCGCAATACGGGTACCCAGAAGTACCAGTGAGATGTTTTCATTCCAATCAGGGTCAGAAGTGGCACAAAGGAACACTTAAGCTATTGATGAAAGCGTTCGACTAGGCCATTAACTGCTGAGTGGTATGCCGTGGTATGAATACGCCGACAGCCAAGGAAGTTGCAAACCGCATCAACTTGTGCAGATTCGAAAGACGTTCCACAGTCGGTTGTGTTAGTAAATGGGTATCCATGTGCTATCCAACAGTCCCAGATGTAACGCACGGCAGTTTCACCTGTGCAGTCTGCTACAGGGATGGATTCTGGCAATTTACTAAAGTGGTCGACGCATGTCAGTATGCATTGGAATCCACGAAAAAGAGGCATTGTCCTACGGAGTGTTAGAGTACATGTAAGAACTGTGAAACCGGGACGGGCATTGAGCCGAGAGGACGGCAGGTGTGTCGGTGTACCTTAAGGCGCTGACAGTGAAGCCAAGCTTGAGCCCAGTTACGGACATCTTTGTTTACGCTAAGCTAAACGAAACGCTCAGTGACCAGGAGTGAAGGATGTCGAAGACTGCCTCTGAAACATTCGGCACGACGGGTCTGATGATGGCCGCAAGCGTCAAACACATTCATCTCGACGACGCGTGGAATCTTGTACCCTCCGAAATGACGTCGCTGATTGAACATGTCGTTCCCTGCTCCCATCGAAAGCTCTACACTAGAGGTCGACCTTGGATGGATCAAGAATTGTGGCCAACTATGAATAGAAGGCGCAAATTATGGGACCGCTTAGGCAATCTCAATCAGAACCCGACTTCTCTCACTCCAAGACTGTCAAAAGTGTTTTTGTCGCGGTGAAACGTCGGAAACGCCGACCATACGAATTATCTTTGGCGCAACACTCCAGACTCGCGCTTAAAATGCTGTACTCTTATTTGAAAAGAAGCACTAGTGTTGGTAGTGGCATCCCTGCTTTTTGTTCTTGTGATCATCAAGATTTAATTCTCAAGAACGCTGTGAAAACCAGTCACTTGGCTAAGCACTACGCTTCCGTTTACGCGAAAGAAACACCATTTAGTGACAGCCGTATCCACCTTTCCATCTTCCTTGGCCCAAGTAGATATTAGTACTGGTTCTGTGATGAAACTTTTTGAGTTAGATCCGTCTAGTTCACCCCCCCCCTGATGGATTGCATCCTTTGCTCCTCAAGACTAGCGGAGCACATAGCTTCACCCATATGTCAAGTCTCGTCTCTCACTAGAAGCTGGCCGTTTTCCGTCAGCTTGGAAAGTGGGCATCGTCAAACCCATCTACAAAGTAGGAAGTCGACATGTTCTGGCCAATTATCGTCCAATCTGTTTGACATCAGAAATGTTTATAGTTATGGGCCGGATCCTAAAACAGGCTGCTAATCTTCATCTTGGGGGACAGAATGTCATTTCTTATACCTAACATGGGTTCCGAGAAGCACGCTACTTTACCTCGAACATGTTCGTTGCTAAGCAGACCTGGGCACGGTCTCTACACTTCGGCACTCGCTTGGACTTTGTGTTTGACACACTCCCGCATGAACGGCTTCTGTTTAAACTCCAAGGAATCGGTATTTCTGGGAACCTTCTGTCTTGGATCTCCAGCTTCCTGAACGACCGCTCCATGCAAGTGAAGGTGAATGACACATTTTCTGCTCCTGTTCTCATGACAAGCAAGGTCCCACAGCGCTCGGTCCCGTATTTTTCAATATCTTCATCAACGACTTACCGTCCACTCTTCAGACGCATTGCCTACTCTACGCTGACGGCCTTCAAGAGGCGGACAGATTACAAGCTAGGCTCGATCTAATCCATGATTGGTCGATTAAGTGACAATTGCCCTTAAATCATGATAAATGCTCTGTTCTCCCCTTTGGCTCATCTGAACCATTGGTGCTTCCTTGTTCAGAATCGCAACCCAAGAGAAGGATCTTGGAGTGATAGTGCCTTCAGACCACAAATCTCTTCAAGACACCCAAAAGAGGGTCGTCGCGGCCTACAGGATGTTCCGTTCTATACGTAGATGGTTTTCTCTCCTGACCCCTGGACTTTTCCGACTCCTCTTTGGCTCACATGTACGCCCGATTCTTGAATACGGGCTTCCCGCTGCCTACCCTCTCATCAAATCCAAATGTGATATGATAGAGAAGGTCCAACGGCGTGGATCCAAATCCGTTTCTGAGTTGCGAGACCTGTCGTATCCACTGCGATTGAACTTGTTCTCTCTAGGTTATCACCATCACCGCGGAGGTTTGTTATTCACTCAACCTATTCTCAGAGAAGAACTGGGTTGCGAGTTTTAGGACTTATTTCAACCCAACACAGTTCGACGCGACGCCAGCGCTTGAAACTGTTAAAAACGGGGAATCTCCGTCTGCGGCTCAATCTGGCCTTATCAACTCGCGCAGTGAATAATTGGAATCGGTTGCCTGGGCTTATTGTTGATACTGAGACAGAGGAACGTTTCAAACAACTAACTGCGCTGAGGTTCTGCTACCTCTAAGACAGCTACAATGGTCCGCTGCGGAACCTTGTGCCGCAATGAACCACGCCATCTCCGCAATGGTCGGAAAGTGAAATAGCTGACAAAGGATCTTCCTGCTCTTTCGTCCAATATTTCACATAGGATAGTTCCGTCCTCAGTTTGGAGAGGAACGGGTGTCAACTGTGAAGTGGACTGCAGTGTGTTGGAGGTCTTCGTCTAGGGCTTTAGCCGATGCTATCGCTCTAAGTTCATTGGGTTGTAGAGGACAGGAGGAGATCCCATGTCAGCCACATCACCACCGGTGTCATTGCCACTAGCAGTCGAAGTAGAACAATGCAATCCTGATATATTACACAAGTGGGAGTCTAATAGCCGCTTGAAACCTTCCTCAGACTGTACATTGATAATGTTCTCCGGAAGGCGGTTCCAGTCTTTCATCATCCGTATGTACAGGGTGACAGCAGTATGAACATTGAGCCTCCTGGGTTTAAAGAGTTTCAAGCCGTGTTCTCGTGTCGAATCTCCTGTACTGAGCTGGAAAAACTCGTACTTAGTTTCCATGTTCCCTCTTATTATGCGCCTAATGAAGATGAGTTCTCCGCGGCAGCGACGGTACTCCAGGGAGAAAAGGTTCATCTGCTTGAGCCGAATGGGGTAGGATAGGCTCCGAAGTCCAGAGCCACGTCTCTGGATTTTTTCAATCAGGGTACATTCCAATTTTGGGGGTAGAAAGACAGCCGGTAAACCATACTCGATGATTAGGTGTACGTGAGAGGATATCCAGTGTCATTCAGGAGAATGACCTTTTGGCGCAGCACATTCTGTTAGCAGCGGCCACTTTTCTCAACCTATCTTGAGTGGTCTTTAGGTTGGAGGCAGTTATTACACCTAACTCTTTTTCTTGAACAACATTCTTGTGAAGGAAACCGCCAATATGGTAGGTACCGAGTGGCTCAGGCGCACTAATTTTAAGGGCGCAGCATTGATTGGTAAGCCTAGCGATGGGGATAGCACACAGGTTTTCGCAGTGAACGTGAAGGGCACGCTCAACGATTCTTTTTATTCTGGGCGTCAGACACATCGGCCGATAGTTTACAGAATCGTGCTGGTCCCCTCTGGGCATTGTAATCCCTACTTTCCAGTGCCGGAATACTTGGTACATTGGATCGGCTAATCATGTGTCATAACAAGTGAAGTCGATCAGGGCCTAAGGCGAAGTTCAAGTTCAGCTCGAAGGGAAGTCTTTTGATTTCAACGCGCTTGTGAGTAGGACACTGTGCCGGCAGATCGTCAGTGTATAATTGAGTAGCTTGAGTACTGAGAAGCCAGTAAGTGAGCCTTCTCGTCATCGTCGTAGAGCACTGTGTGAGAGGATAGCAGATATTCTACTGCTCGCCTTGGTGTTTCGCTTCAGGTACGAGTAGAGTCCGTGCGAGTTCGGAATTGCATGATCAGCTTGTGTTCGTATTGTGCCCGTATCTTGCGCTTCACCAGACTTCGCTGGTTTGTATCTTACTGGTGTTAACTTGAGTGTGTCCAAACCTTTGCGTCGTCTGTTCATCAGGGAGCTTACCTCTGTCGGTGTAATGGAAGACCTACCAGGAAAGGTCTGTCTTTGGAATTAGGAACTAGTTTTTCAGTGACCGACATTTTCAAGCGTTGTAAGCTCATGGTCTAGGATTATGATGCTTGCCACTTACGATCTGGACGAGACAACATGCCAGTAGTTACCGCGATGTGTCTCCGAGTCGTGGATAACAAGTCGACATGTCCACAGGAAGGAGACTGCAACGGTCAGTTGAGATTCTTCTGGCCCTGGACGTCGAAAAGCCCAGAGGTGAATTAGAGATCAAAGGTGTGTGGTGGTTTACCCGGCATCGTCCTTGTTGGTTTTGAGATTGCATTTATTACTGGCGTCGAAAAGGACTACCCCGAAAGAATTGTGACAAAGATCGCGATGAACAAGGTTCAATTTGATACGGGTGCATTGTTGTCGCCCATGAGCAAACAGTATGCCTCTACAACTAATTTTTACCGAGGGCTACAAGCAGGTGCCTGAGCTCATTTGCACTCCGTAGGCCACATCAATCATGTGTGATTGATAGCCATCATGAATTCGGCACCGCAGCTTCGATAACATGTTCCTTGAGGCAGGACCTCGCCCATGGGAGCGGTCAGCTCGTGAGAATTGTTCTGCTACTATGCTAGTCTGGATTCTGAAGTTAACCCTATCTCTGTGAAAGACAGTCTATCTGGTCGATGCTCGGAAATTACTGGAGGAATTTCGTCGATCTTACTTTTATTTCTTCTTACACTAGCAAATGTAACTCGCAATCCGCTATTTAAGTTTGGGTGCTGGGTAGCAACAAGACTGGCTTCCAGCGAGTTCTTTTGGTTTTTTGGTAAACGGGAAAGTCGACGTTATGAGGGTTAATTTTTTCAGTTCGATGACGGCTTGTTTCATTCCGTCTCGAAATTCTAGAGGTCTTTCATCACAAGGGTTTTCCCCTTGTAGCGTGACGTTCGCCTGCGGATGCGACGACATTCTTCTTCATCCTGACAAACGAGTTTTAGATTATTCATCCTGTTTCCTACCCAGTCGAAAGACAGACGCCTTCATCAAGTATAAAAGATACTGTTCGCTTCAAAAAAATGCTTGCTCATCATGAGTCCTCTCAGCTGGCGACTCTGTCAGAGTATGGAGCATTAGTTATTAACCAACGATCACCAGAGGCTTTTCTCATGTGGACCCAGGCTTTTCATTAGGAAGTTGTTCCATTTGATTAGTTTTATCTAGAATGAGCTTCGGTTGCATTAGGATAGGGATTGATTTCCCTTTATGCCTCGAAGCTGTCTTCCTCATTATCTCCCGCAATCTCGTTCATCCCTAATGTTTCTGCAGCATATATGTTCACCGCAGCCGCATGTCTTCATCTTAATTTAAGACGTTGCAGCCGTCGCTACCTTGTACTAATAGCGTCCCCTCCGATAAAATGGGGATACTTGGCATCGATTTTGTGCTGAGTTGGCGGACCCACTTATAAATATCGACCAAGAGGGCATAGAAGATACACTATCTGGTTAAAGGGCCGGCTAATTTAGGAAAGATAGTAATACAGAACGGGTCAAAATTGCCAGGGGAGACCTAGTGTTCACCACAGTTCGACAGCGGTAACAGTAAAGCGCAAGTGCCAAGGAATCAGTCTATTTTAGTCATTCACAGAGATCAGCTTCATTCTTACGGCGTGATATATGCAACCACGCGGAAAGCACTCATCATCATCATCAACAGCAGTACATCAGCCATTTGAACTGATGCTTCGCTGCCATACAACCACGAGGACCTATGAAATAAAGAATAAGAAGAGGGAGAGAAGGGGGACTTACCTGAAAACCTTAATGCCATAAGCAAACATTCAGGGTCAAGGCGCCTACACCTTGTGTAGACAACATTCCGTCACAAACAGCTGGCTATCGTGCAAAGATAAGGCGGAAAGCACTGCATGGTCTTAGATCGAAAGGTGACACCTTTTCCGCATTACAACACTAGGATGCCATTACCGCATACACCTACAAGTGCGCTGTTATTCAGCTCATCGCAGGCCATCATTGCTCTCGCTCCACAGAACCGGCTTTCAGGCGAAGACTTCGTTGTCTGAGGCATGTAACTTTACAGCGTGTACAGTCGTCTTGGCCAACTCGGTGTTCTTATTCTCCACCTGCCAGCGGTAAAATATAGCAGTTCTCAACCGGTTTCGGACTGGTGTTTGCTGCCACTCCATAGCCAAACTGCATATTCAAATTATATTCAATCTTATTTGCAGTGGTAAACTCGTTGAAACCCAAAGCACCAAAGACCGCAAAAGATCACTGCCGCCTTGCATTCATGCAGCCGGAAACCTTCCATGATGTATTGAATAGTAGAAATCAGATGGGATAGCCCTTGTCATCTTCATCACTTCTCAGTCAATGTGATGACACGTGTTGTATCGAAGGGCTATCTTACACTTGGTGATTACAGTTTCGGGCATAACAGCAAGGTGCAAACACATTGAGCAAGTGTAACTACAACAGCTTCTTGAAGCATTCCTCACTAGAGGCACTGACCACAGCCTCCGGTAAGTTTTTCCAGTCATTCACTGCTCGGGTGGATAGAGTGATCTTGGAACGCACATGGTACCTCCTCTGTTTAAGGAGTTCCTAACTGTGCCCTCGTGTTGAGCTGGAAGTACTGTTGGCGCTGACTGCACAAGTCCGCTTTGTGAATCTGTCTTTTGTAAATCAGATCTCGGAGACGACGACGGTAGCCAAGGGAGAACAGATTCATACGATTGAGTCGAACAGAATACGAAATCCGAATCGCTGGGATTGGTTTCGTACCTCCAGTCAGATCGCACTCTAGCTTATTGCATGGATAACTTGTTGACAAACCATAAGCGAGGATAAGACGAATAGAAGTTTGAAGATGTCCGAAGTCATCCGAGAGAACGGC